GTTGGTCAGTGGTAATTGCCATGAGCCGGAGGAACCAATTGGCGTCAGCAAACATGAAAATCCGCCATGTTTTTCCGGACACTCGTTTGACTGAAGGATAGATAGGAGCACATCCTCCAGTAATATTATAGCTCAGTGGGAGCCACCGACGGGATCCTATCTTGGCGACCTAACAGGTGAGCTAGACGGAGCTCACATTACCACCATTGTATCTGGGGACCCTAAAATCTACGCCTACGAGACGAACACAGACAAAACGGTGTGCAAAGTTCGAGGAATCACCTTAAACTATAGAACTGCACAAAAGGTTAATTTTAATTTAATGTGTGATATGATTTGTTTAGAGGCTTTGTCTGATCTCACAGATAGGATAGTGTCACTCAGGGGCGTACCGAGCCCGGACGGGTGTTGGGGGTGTGACACCCCCTCCAGTTTTTTTTAAAATCGTCGGTAAAGTTTAATTGAAAATGGTCGGTAAATTGATACAAGCGTTGGTAAATTGACATATACCGACTAAAACGTTCCGTAAGAATATGAACGACCTTCTCGCACTCGCACAAGACGCAGCTGTCACTACATGGTTCTAAAAACCACCACCCGTCCCCCCCCCCCGCTCGCCATGATTTTAGTGGAAAAAATTTTCGTCGGTAAGTTTAGGGAAATGCACGAGCGTAATGGCCTCGGTACGCCGATGGTGTCAATATTCCATTTAAGATTATAAGGGACACTAAGAAGAAAAGTATGAAACCAGGAGAGAATCTAAAGATTATAGAAAAGGGACTGTTTAGGTGAGTGGTATGTTCGGAAACTTTCATTTGGTACATTGCTTTATGGTTTTTAAATATGCCAATAAATTATTTTAACGTTGTGTGTGGTGTTACAGGTGCATGGGTAAGGGGACTTTTGGGGACTATTTTTCCCTAAAGGGACATTCGGCTATATTAGGGACTATTGCCGGTAATTATGTCCCCATGGGGACATTCCCTTATATCGGGTACATTCAGGGGAAAAGTTGGAAAACTCAGTCCCCAAAGGGCTGTTCAAGGGAATAGTATGTTCGGAAACATTTATTTTATACATTGCCTTATGTTTTTTAAATATGCCAATAAATGATTTCAACCATAAAAGTTGTGTGTGGTGTTGCAGGTGCATGGATAAGGGGAGTTTTGGGGACTACGTTTTTCCCTAGAGGGACATTCGGCTATATTAGGGACTATGGTCGGTACTTACTTCCTCATGGGGACATTTCCCTATATCGGTGACATCCAGTGCAAAACGTTACTATTCCCCAAAGGGGCTATCAGGTAGTGGTATAATTCGGAAACATCCCATGTGTGGAAAGAAAGGTTTATTAATATTATCTTACCATTTAGCCAATATTCATAAACTATCTACTCAAGAGACACAGCCATACCTTATTCGTGCTAAGAAAATGCCTATTGATATAGCAACGGTAATGATGGAGTCGCATAAGTCATAAGATAAATAGACTGATCGAAAAGCATCGCGTGAAGTCATGTTTACTTCTGTACCGAATATCAAGACGCGTTTGGAGAAATACAAAGTGTAGTGCCTGGTATAAAATTCATACAAGAGTTGCTTGAAAATAAATTTGTTGGATACGATCAACCCTAGGCCTGAAATACGCAATTTGTTCATCATTGACGACATGAACTTGTGCAAAACATGTTTCATCATAGCAATGAACATTGCACGATCTCTCTAAACGCAAGTTATTTATCTTTAACGAAAAACGTTCGAGATATGCAAGTCAAATTACTCATCTCGCTAAACAACTATACCCGAGTCAAAAGAAATTTTTCCAACAAGCTTATCAATTGGCAACGAAAGAACCTTATTCATATTTATTTGTGGACTTAAATCATACATGTCATGACGAGATACGGATTCGGTTTCCTACCGTTTTTACTTACGTCTGTCATGGAACAATTGGCAAACTTTTTATATGGAAAAATGTGATCAAGTGTCACGAAATAGACTCGAACATGTAGGATATTATTCGACGACAAAAAAACCATGGATGAAAAGGCAACGTTATACGACAAGAAATCTGCAACGCTGTTTAACCTTTCATGACAAACGAATGAATAAACCTCTCCGAATAAACGTGATACAACCCTCTCCATTTGAACCTCAAAGAGAACAGCCCAGTGAAGAGACGGAACCCTCAGACGAAATTGAAACAGATATCATGGAGAGTGTACCAACCACTATGTAGTCAAGAGCTCGACAACTAATAAAAAAATTCAAGTCAAATAAAGATCTTATTGTTTGGAATGCAGAAGGCGAGATTGTGTTCAAAGGAAGATCTATTCCCAGTACAAATATAGTTGATTTGGTGAATGATTCTCTACGTCAAATGAAAAATTTCAATCTGGACGGCTGGCAATTTTTTTCTCGGACATTTGAATGTGTCCGAAAGTATTGTGAGAAACGTAAACTGTCTTGGAATTGTTCGCGAATATCGAATCAAAGGAATCCCAGAATATGTACCCCCCGCCCTCCCCACCCCCTCCACCTCGAGTGCAAGAAAAAAGGGAAAACGTAGAGACAATATTAGTAGTCCAAAGAAGTGGTTAAAATAATTTATTTCTTGTAAGACATAATTTTACAATAAATGTATTTTAAACTAAAACTAGTGTTTTCTATTGGTACGCCTTGTCTATAAAGGCATGTACGAACAAGCAGATCATTCCATTCTTTGTTATCCGTAAACATATTTGCAATGGTACGTTTTGGAATTATTATTATTATTTCTTTATTATTATTGATACATGATACATGAAGAAAGCCAATGGCTATAAAGCCTTAATTGCCATTCATTTACATTAAAAATTTAAGATGAAATATTTACAGTTTACATTATACATTATGTAAAATATTCTTTATAGAAATACCTTATATAAAGTGAAATATGAGTTGTTAGATAATTAAAAAATATATAATTAAACTATCAAGGTTTGTAAAACTTGGTAAAACCTTGGTAAAACTAAGATCTCGCTAAACTACTATTATAACAATTTATAGCGTACACCAAAGGACTGTTCTTAAATCTCTCTGTTCGAAACTTAAAGTTATAATACATATTGGGGTTAGATCTGGTTTCTCTTTGTCTTGTATCTCTAACACGATCTGGAAGTAAGTTGTGTATATGGTGCTCGGGTTAAGATATATTTGCAATCAAGTCAACACAATGAGTCTCTTTGCATCTTAAGGCGATTTAAGGCCACTGAGTAATCGATACCGGGTAATATTATTCTGAAAGCTCTTTTCTGTATTCTTTCTATTTGATTGCTTTGAGCATTGGTTAACCCCCATGCCACAACACGTCTCCATATTCCAAGGTTGATCTAATTACACTATAATAAAATTGTAGCAAATCCTGTGTTGGTGCCCCATACTTTTTAAGTACTTTGAGAAAATACAGCCGCTTCCTTGCTTTCTTTACGTCTACATCGTCTATACGTCTACATCCATGTAAAGGAAACTACAACGTCTAAACGTCTACATCGATGTAAAGGAAAGAATAATGTATATTGTCCACACATGTCCGATGAAGGGACTTCTTCTGTTCCACGTCAACAATCAAACATGTCGTTTGTGGAGTCTTCTAATCAATAGCACATCAATTTAGCATTGCCTTTTAATTTTTTCAACAAATTGTTAAAAATGTGTCAAACAAGCAACACGAATGCATGCATTCAATACATGATAAAAGTCATAAAACACATTGTACAAGACTACAACATTTATTAGCAAGTAAACTGATTAAAAAATTAATACAATTATTATATCTTATGCAAAAGCATGACCATGTATTTTTACGCAATAGTTCTATAACACCAAATCTAAATATACTTTTCCATGAAGGCCCGATATTGGTATTAATTATATTGTTCATCAGTAGCAGCAAGGTTTGTTGTTTGACTTAGAACAGTATCTCGTTGAACTGCAGTAATAGTATCCTTGAGGGCAAGGATCTTTGTGATAGTAGCATGTGCAGCCAGGATAATCGCAGAACTTTTTATCTGTTGAAAATAGAATAGAAAACAATTATGACAAATAAACTATACATTACTAAATGCAGGTTAACACTATCAAAGTTTCTGTGATTATCGTGGCTGCACGTGCTACTATCACAAAGATTCTTGCCCTCAAGGATGATATTACTGCAGTTCAACGAGATCCTGTACTCTGTCAACCAACAAACTTGCTGCTACTGATAAACAATATAATTAATGCCAATGTCGGGCCTTCATAGAAAAGCATAATTATATTTGGTGTTATAGAACTATTGCGTAAAAATGCAGGGTCATGCTTTTGCATAACATATAATAATTATAATGATTTTTGAATCAGTTTAAGCCTACTTGCTAATAAATGTTGTAGTCATTTACACTGTGTTTTTTCATGTATTGAATGCATGCATTCGTGTTGCTTGTTTGACAAAGTTTTAACAAATTGTTAAAAAATTACAATGCTAAATTGATGAGCTATAGACTAAAAGACTCCACAAACGAAATTTTTGACGCAAAGAATAATGTATATTGTCCACACATGTCCGATGAAGGGGCTCGCAAAACTCTTCTGTTCCACGTAAATGTACTGCAATGCTTGCTTAAAAATTGATTAATTTTTACTGTAATATCCAGGGGCCTGACCATAAGAATCCCCAAATTCCCCGCTTTCATCTTCTGTAAGGTACATTGCCACCCAATGCGATCCAAGTTTATGGGAAGGATCCGTGTTAAGTATATATACCCTCTAGGTCTCTTTCTTATTTTGTGAGGTAAATGATCTGATGGTAAAACATCCCTAAACACCGTCTTTGTAAGTGAATCACTCTTAAGAATGTTCATAATCTTTAGCGAGTTCATATTCAATTGTTGAAATCACACAGCACGTTCCGTTTCGCATCAATTTCGATAAGACTTGAAATTCACCAAGCACCACGATATTTATAGCTGTCTCCAACGGCGTTCCAAATCGACATTCAATTGACACATTTCCGTTTTTAAAAAATCTGTTTTACATGATTGCCAAGGCATAGGTCTGGAGTGAGGTCAAACACAAACAGCGTATAACTGTTTGCATATTCTTCGCGACTTATACCGTCGCCTTGATTTTCGAACATCTTTTGTGTACCCACGTACAGGGTTTGGAAAGCAGCGGCCGGTTGTATAAAAACGTAGTTAGCGCTAACTGCAGTTAAAAAGTAGTTAACTTTAATCACGTAGTTAATTAAGCCGGTTGTATAAAAGTATAGTTAACCTTAACTGCAGTTAAAAAGTAGTTAAAAAGTATTTAAAGTTAACTGTGCTTTAGGGTATAGTTAACTATCCAAAACATTAGTTAAAAATAGCGTTTGTATAGGAGTGAACAACATTTTTCAGTAAAACAACAATGAAAAGCAACGCTTACCTTGGATTTTCTATTGCTATCTTCCCTGTGTATGTTTTCTGACAATATAAACTCTTCAAACGCTATCGCTTTGGTGTTTTTACGAAAACAGAACATATTTTTGTACAGGACGATTTTCGAAGACGAAGTATGGTCCATTACACCAAGAAACACTGATATATGTGTCACAAGCAGCCACACCCTGGTTTAACGTAGACATCTCACGGAAAAACTGCCTTCTTTTATGATCCTTGTGGCGGTTTTCCTTGTTTTCTTGGTTAATTGTCACTGTTTTCTAGCAGAGGTTTTCTAGTGTTTTGAATAAAATTTCAGCCTATTTTCAAAATGCGAGCTAATCCATAATCATGTTAAAAATGCGTGTCAGCGGCCGTTAATCACTGCTTACTTTATGTAATTTTGTGTTTAGACGTCCCACACCAATTCCACGCACAGTTAACTACGTGGTTAGTTAACTATCCGACTAACCACGTTTTGTACAACGCAGTTAAGTCATGTAGTTAACTAATTACAGCTAAGTATCTAACTACAGTGATTAGCGCTAACTACAGTTAGCGCTAATTACGTTTTTATACGACCGGCCCCAGAAATGTAATTACTTTCTGCTTCAAATTTCAATTCTAGTGGTTATCCAGGTAAATTCTCTCCGTTGACAGTTAGACCCATGGTTGTAATATCGTAATTTTTAAAATTGAACGGGTTCTTCGTATAGGTACCATTAAAGGCGTTTGCGTCGACCATTCCAATCACGATATGATTTGGTAAAACACCTTGAAATATATTAGACTGATTTCCAGACATGTTTCATCTGGGCACTGAAACAACATTACAGATTGTGTGTTTGGGTGGTTGGGTGTTTGGTAATGGTTTGTTGAAGGGACTGGGAATGAGTCAGTATAGTACTAGGTGATACGTTAACTCGTCGTACACAAAGCATTCATTCTTCTATGACTACTTTGAAATTGGGATTTTTTGCGGATGATACCAAACAAAACGGATCTCTAGATCTCACCAGTTTGATTTTGATTGGAACAGCACCAAGAATATATCGATCTTGTGCGAATAGATCAGAATGAATTCTTTCTTCTATAGCGACCGATTTACCTTCACGTGTAAATGCATGGCGTTGTTTTTAATCCAGTGTTGGTATCTTGTGCGAGAGGGTTGACTACATCCACCTTTCCAGCTATATATTTATAGAATGGTGCTGAGGTCAATTGCGAATCTTTGGCGTCTTTGCTAAAGCCTGGTTCACATAAAATCGTTAAGCAGTCGCAGACAGTCGCAGACATGTGTCGAATTTTTATATGAACACAAATGCAGATTCGCGCAGACTGTCTGAGACCGGATCGGCGACGTATCGGGAAAGTTGAACTTGGTTCAACTTTCCCTTTCCGTCGCAAATCGTTCATATAAAAATTCGGCACATGTCTGCGACAGTCTGCAACTGTCTGCGACTGCTTAACGATTTTATGTGAACTAGGCTTAAAGTACATGTTCGTTTCGATATACGCTCGGTAAGGGAAGGCTTTGCTTGATGGGGGTGACCAGTTTGTTGTTGAGAAGTACTTCACATTGTGAGAACAATGCATGCATCCAAAGGTTGGAAGGTCCTACTTGAATGTCTACACCCACATTTTCTCCGACTGCGGTAGTGATCTTTGCTTTAACGTGTAGATAACTGCTTGCTAAGTCAGTATAATCTCCAGAAATTGCAGCACATAAAAATTCTACCGTAACTGATGAAGATATACTTGTAATGGGATCAGCATCTTCCCAATATCTCTTTTCCATTACCACTTGAGTCGGTGGAACAGAAAATAAATCAAGTTCAGATTTTGAGCGCATACAGGAGTCTTTACGCATTTTTTCAGCGACTTGAGCCGTGCCACATTGGACTATAGTTATCGAGAGATGTTTTCTACTTCTTGGTTGAACCGCGAATGCGAGCTAGTTTTTGTTGGCGCAGCTCTTTTTATACCCTTTTCGCGACCCTTGCCGGTCATTATTTTCTTGGCAGCGTTTTCTGAAAGATCAGATGCTGCTTGTTTTCCTCGTAATTTAAATGATTCTCTTACATTTTTCCCTTGGAGTACATCTTGACCAACTTCTGTGGCTGCTTGTAATACTCTTTGGCCAACAGCTTTAGCACCTTGTTTGAATAGAGGGATAGCAAAAATCTCGCAAGGCTCTTGAAAATACCTTCGATCCCATATCCCCTTTGCATAGGTGCACCACGAAATCCAGCGATATTCCCACCACGTTGCTGTCTCAAGAAATGATCTTTCAACTGTTTAGCATCCGCAATTAGTCTTCCGCGCATTTTTAGATAAAGTACTGAGATCTCTTCTGTCTAAACTGAAGTGTTGCGATTGACTTTCCGAACTGAAATGAAACGTTTTCGTCTTGGTCATTCTTTATATTGACTTCAATGGTCTCAAAAGAATTTACTTTAACCGGTACGTATTGCAAATTACGAAAACTGGCGTGAACGGTGTTTCCATATTCCCCTTCGATATTAACTATTCGAAGTAAAGGCACTTTCACATTGCCCACAAACTGTGCATCAACGATATCAGTATAGACATACATGGAGGAAAATCCACCATTGATATTCTGCAGCACAGAGACTCGAAGTTTTCTTTTCAATAAGAGTGTCCTGGTCAAATCGCAAGACCGTTGCTAATTCTCTGGTAAACCACACAGTTGTGATGTGTTTTACATCAATCAAAAATTTGCGAGAACTGGGATTATAACTAAACTTTACTTTCGTTTGTGTTTCTTTTGACATGCCGGCATTGAGTGCTTTTGTTAGTTGGTCGATAGAAGAATATTGGGTTTCTTTAATTAAGCACGACAGTTTGATAAGGGCTACTGCCAATTTTATACAAAAAGGTTTGTTGCACTCCACGTCTTAGTGTGCTTCACGTATGTGGGTAATGCAGTTCCGTCAACGCGACTTCCCATTGCCCTGGAAAAAAAATGGTTTCGGCCAAATTTACTCTAAAATTATTTGGAAAATAAGCCAACGAACTATTACTCGGTAACGTGAAATAAAACTGTGTTGCCATATTGAAGACCAACACACAAATGAACACAACTGATAAGTTTCAAATACATTTAAAATGTTCCTTCCAATTTTCCGTCATCATAATCGCCGATCTTGTACACGAGTGGTTGTCGAAGAACACGTTTGGTTATCGTAAACATTTCTTCGGTCCTGCTAGGTAAGTATCGTTTTTTAAATGTGCGCCTTGCTTTGCTGATTCGTACTTAATCGCTAATGTTAAACTTAAACCGAACGGGTTTCTCAGACTCTTCTCCAAATAGTTTTTGCCACACAATGCTCTCGTTGTCTTTATTTTCATCAACGGGCCTCATACCAATACTACGATGTCTCAAATGATTCTAAGATTTTATCAGTTTCTGGAGAATGTCACGTACTTAAGCGTGTTTTTCGCTGCAAAATATTTTCACATTTTTGTCTTGAGGGTACGATTAAACCTTTCGACAATCGATGCCTTGGTCTCGTTTTGTGTCGTGAAAAACCGGATGTTATGTTTCTTCAAAAAGGTTTGAAACTTTCGATTCATAAACTCTGTCCCTTTGTTGGTGTGAAATATTTCAGGCTTTCGACTTTTTTAAGGTATTTTCTCAAATGCTTTAACAAGATTTTCTCCAGTCTTTGTTTTTATCGGTTCAGCCCACGTATATTTGCTAAGTACATCCATTACAGTTAAAATGTACTTACAACCATTATTGTTCTTGCTTAACGAGTCCATAATCACAAGATCTGCTTCCCATTGCTCGTCAATTGCGCCTACACGCTGACACAGTTACATTTGAAACGATATCTTACAGGTTTATGTAGTGTATACGTGTCTTGTTTTTGTAGCCATAGCCGTATTTTATTCTGCGATATCTGACGTTCTCCTTTGTCTTTTACGACATGGTAAATTAAATCTACGCCACCAAAACTTGCGGGACTTTCTGGATTGTAATAAATTTGGTTCAGGTACTCTTCTGCCATCAATGTCTGAGGCTTGAATTACAATTTTCCTCCACAGCAAGCGGAAATACAACGCACATTCCGAAAGATTTTTCGGAAGGAAATTTCTGGTGGACTTTTTTAGCAGGGCATCCCCTCACCTCAGAGGTCAGAACGAAATAAACCAGGCAGCAATCATAGGCTAACATATAAAGCTATCAGTGCTGGCGAGAGTGTTACAGTGCGAGAGTGTTACAGTGTTACAGTGCTTGCGAGAGGGCAACAGTAAAACAGGCGCTTCTGGGTGGGTCCTTCTTTTTTCACTTTTCGTACGGTGCATACCATCCCGTGCTTGCAGCGTGGTCGAGGGCTTTCGTAAATGTCTCCCCATTGCCAGGGACGTAGGAAGCGGGGGGGGGGCACGGGGGGCACGTGCCCCCCCAAATTTTTTTAAAGGACTAAAAGTGCCCTTTTTTGTGATAAAAAGTGCCCTTTTTGTGTTGAAAAGTGCCCTTTTTTGTGAGGAAAAGTGCCCCTTTTGTAGAAGCTAATGTCGCTGTAAATACTAAATTAAAACAATAGGTGCCGTTTTTGTGTGGAAATTTACAAATTTTTTTTAAAAATTAGGTCACAAACATAAATTTCGGTATGATACGACGGAAAATTTTCCTCAGGAGAAATTTCTCCCCCCCCCCGTCGACAACATTTCCGGGAAAAATTTTTTAGGTGCCCTTTCCGATAGTAATGTGCCCCTACAAGCCGGTGCCCCCCCAAACTCCAGGTGCTTCCTACGCCCCTGCCCATTGCCAAAAGTTCGAAAGGCCTCGACAGTTCATCGGACATTTTCTCGAACGCTTTCCTCGCTGTCTCTTTGCAAACAAGCTAAAGCTAAATAGGCAAAAATGCGACCAAAGTTTGTCAAATTTATTTCTCGGTAGATTTGGCCAAGGTGTAGGCCATGAGCATTCACTGCACGATATAGATCTCGATGTTGGTCGAGAATTGCATTTATATGAAACGATAAAGTCTGCTTATCGATATCTATTTTATTTTGTCTCAACTCGTCAATTTTATCTTTCACCACGCCTAATTTGGCTAATCTCTGATGTGTTGGGCAAATGGGATGATTGGAACCACTATTTTGACAGGCTTGCATTGCTCTCGTAAACAGATAACAGTCTTTGTCATGGCAAAATAACTCGCATCTCGGCGTTTCGCAACAAAACCAAAACGTACCACGAACAGTTCTGGAACTTGCTGCTAGTCCACCGTGAAAACATTCCATCGCGATTGTTGTATACACACTGTATTTATAGTGCTTTTACTCTATTGTGATGCTAGTTGGTCGCGTTACGTTATTGTGTTTGGTCGCATTACCTGTCACATTTGGCCCAGGCTTGCCGAGCAAATGACGTCATAGATTTTGCATACTAATTACTTCCTCCGCCATATGGGGGTCTTTTACTACTGACACTAATATTCCAACTTGTTATCAAAATATGAAAATGAGTTTAAAAGTCATTCAAAGAGATTTTTAAGGAAAGCCTTACAAAGCCACTCTGAGCCTGATCATTTGTAGCTCTAGCTATAGCATCAAAACTTGCTTCATGTTAAAAATTTTACTAAAAAGACAAACGCCCATGCAGGCATGGAAATTAAAATGTCCTGAATTCGCTATTTTGACAACAAGATAGTAAAATGCACGTGAACAAACCTGACGTAAAGCGGGATATTACCCTCTACATAAGAATATTGTGAATTAGTATTTATGCACAAATGAACATACAAATCCTACACGTTCATCGATCAAATTTGCCGTATTAAGCTGTTATATTCACCTACAGGTGAATATAACAAAACCGAAATTTTCAAAATGGCGGCTAGCTGTTTTGTGGAAGTCGGCTGATAAAGAAATATGCGTAATTAAAATAGATTCAGTCCCAAAAACACATGTGTAAAAATACCTCAGACTCGGGGATTATCGGGGAATATTGACCTCGACTTCGTCTCGGGGAATATTCCCCCATAATCGCCTCGCCTTCGGCGAATAATTGTTAAATGATTTGATTATAATTAGTTTTTTATTTTAAGTTCACAAAACATGTTTACTGCAGCCCTCGTTTATTGTATTTGCTCTTTAGTTCAGGTGGGTGTCCGTATTTATAAAGTTCGGTAAAAAGAGTGAGGTTATTTGAAACAAAATATACGAGAATTTTGTAGGGATATTGAAAACCCCCGTAGTGGGAAGATGTCAGCAATAGGGTGGATATAGGCCGTCACATGTAGGCTAAAAATATGCCTAGAAAGTTATTTTCGTTGCACATATCGGGAGGCTACTGATTTCTTTCATAAAGCAGTAGAGGAGCATGCCAACTCAAATAATAAAAAAGCCCACTGTCATAAGTGTGCACAACAACGAGAAATTGACTATATTCTGGCGATGACGTCATCTATAGTTCCAAAAAGTAAAAATGGTCGAATTTCGAAAAATGTTTAATGCTATCAGATTGAGGTAGATAATTGGACAAAAAAACTATATTACATTGATAAATTTCAGTCGTTCGTTACCGAGATATCACGTTCCAAAGTTTTTGAAAATGCTGAGTCAGCACTTTTGTTTCTCCAGTAAAGCTTGTATTGACAGACTGTATGCAGGGAAAGGGCTTATTTTGAACTAGTACCTTAAATTGTGCACCACAGTGTGTGAATTAAAGCAGTTAAGCAAGTCAGAAAACTAAAATGCAACTAAAAAATTCAAATTGATTACCCGAAACCTAGAAAACGAAATCTGTCGCAAGACTAACTAATTTTACCATGATCTAATATTACAGGCCAAATTTTATCAATATAATGCACGCTGCACACAAGCAAACCATGACTCCTCACAAGCTTATTATTACTCAACAGGCACATTACTCAACAGGCAATATCACTGACATCGAAAATCCGCTATTAATTCCACTCTATAAAATAACTTCTGTACAAGAAATTCATTTAGTAGAGTTATTTATTCAGTTACAGGTAGCATGCAAGGGACCTTAAGCCCCTTTACAGTGGCTAGCTTTTTCTTAAGCAATATAGAAGCATGATATAGAATTTGTAGCTCATTCAATATGCACGGTGTAGCGCTGTGATTATCATCATATCCCATGTTGTACAAAAGCATTGAATTTGTTTCACATGATGTCTTATCCTATCCATACGAAAAGTAAGTATAATTCTTGAATCACTTATAATGGTACTTAACCTCAATGGCTACACAACATATTTCACAATTTTTAATAAGATCCTGTTGTCCTTTTTCTTTGAGGCAGCTTCGCGCAATAGACCTGCATCTAAAGTCTCACACGCAACAAGGGTTATTCTTCACGGGTAATAATTTTGGAATGAATATTATTGTGATTATTTTGCTACGTCATCGCTGTACCAGTTACTAGCAACTGTATGATGATTTCATTTAATGATAAATATACCATATAATTACAATGTTAGACATACCATGACAAACAAATCGGATTTTTTTTCGCAAATTATACATACTGGAGGCAAAACATTTGGTGATCTAGCCTTCATGTCACTATTTTGGGGACCATCATTGTCAAGGGATGAGTGTAAAAGCTTCTTTGGTGGAACCATCTGCAACTTCACAGCCAATTAAGATTTCGCTGCCTCATGTTCTCCTTTCCTCCACTTTTTGCAACTTGTTTTAATCACAAAGTCTTTTATAGCAGTTTTCATGGTAATGCCAGACGAGTTCCCAGTGGGGTAACGGAACCTCCTGAGGCCTGCATTATTTTTTTAAGTGGGTCCCTATTTTTTCAAAAATAAGTTGGCGGGGGGAGGTGGCGAGAGGGGGAAGAAAAAATGTTTTCAAACCATATTCCTTACAATTAACAAAAAATTTTCTCTATCTATGGCTACCAAAAAAGGGGGGCCAAATTTCACAATTTCACCAATTTCTGCTTTTGGGGGCCACCCGTTGGAAATGTTCTGACCCTATATAACTGAGGCTCAGGCCAATTTGCCCAATGTACAAGCAAAAAGTTTATGGTCATGTTTTCGGGGGGGAGGGGTTACGCCATTGCGAGTTCCCCACAGCAGTTAGAGTGTGAGAAATGCCTTTCTACATTGGGCTATCCATTTAATAATCACATCCGCCCCCCCCCTATCGATAAGGTCAGTAAAATTTTAACCCCCAAGAAAAAAAAGATCCAAGTGCTGACACAAAACCCCCTCAGATATTTGTAAATTTTCCCTTCAGAACAATCAAGAAGATCAAAGTATGCCGACCGGCTTAACCGTACAGAAACGACTTTGGGGTCATCCTTCAGAAAGGCCCATACAGACCGGACGCGATTTGGCAATGCAACGCGAATTTTCAGTTTTCAATGACATTTAACTTTAATATGTTTCAACGTTTTTCTAATATTCGGAAACACTTAAGCAATTTTAGCTATTTGGTTTACCCGTTGACGATTTTATTTGTTTTTGAAAACTGAAAATTTGCGTCGCGTTGCCGAATCGCGTCCGGTCTGTGTGGGCCTTTACATATGATTGTGAAACATCCTCAAAATGAATACAACATTGCAACATTCAATTTTAAATGCTTGAGTGAACAGCTTGTTTCAGCCGCCATATTGCTTTTATTCACGCGTGGCAGCTATGTTGCCATGGAAACACGCGCGATTTGAAGATTGCGTAAACGAAACATTGATCGATATTATCAAAGTTTCAAGTCTATTTTCTACCTGTTGTGCACACTAGTGAAGGGAGGCTTTGTATTTCCTGAAGAAGGAGACTAATATGCATTTTATGGCGGAATTTTTTATCCTCGCGACATGTGCAACGAACTTGAATGATAGAGCAGGACATGTGACCACCTAATAGGTATACTGTATCATATTTCCGAAAAAATATGCAAAACGTTACTTACTTATCTTCGTTTCACAATGCTCTCCCTCAAAATCGTCTGGACAATCACATTTATCAAGATCCAAGATTAGATTCCCGCCATTATTACATTCTTTGTCTTCACGAATAAACTGGAAATAATCCAGGAAGAGATGTCAACTATGCGTTAAACCCCGAGTACACTTAAAAACTTTTTGCAAGTAAAGAGTTTCCTATTATATATGGTAGAAATTAGAAAACAGTGGTTGGACTGATAATTTACACATGAGAATGATTTTTTCTAAATGTTTGGGAAAACAATATTTCTAATGTGATGTCGAAGAAACGTCAGAGTTTTCAAATATTTAGCGATAATGCTTTCAACTTTGTACTCTGGTTAGTTAAGTTGTGCTATTATGGCGATAATGTTGGCCATTTTACTAACTTTTTGAAACTTACTAGGTGAAATTAAACTATTCCTCCGGATATCTATAACCATTGGCGTACGGGGCTGATGCTTTCCGCGTGGGGAGTGAAAGTTTGCCCAAATTTTTATGAAGGATTGTTAACGAAATTAGCTGAATTAAACATATTTTCTGATAAGTCTTCCCTAATTTTCATTATTTTTCCTAGCACTTGTCCGAATTTCTATGGTTTTCCAACATTTTGGGGGGTTGCCCTCCTTCCCCCTGTCTCGTACGCCTATTTATATGACGTCTCAATGCAAGATTGAATTGACAATAAATAGATGCTGCGATTGCAATCACTGGACGATATTGAGCAAACAAAGCGGCTCGGAGGTTAAGTAATGAGGTGGAGGCTATAACCAGTGACAAAGGACGTTTGTTTGAACAGATCGATAGGCTTTTTATCTATTTATGTTCAACTATGGCAGCTTTTATTTTAATCGCGTAGAGATTAGTATTTTCTCACCATCTTTTTACAAACAGCCCCGTAAAACGTCCAGCCATTATCTCCGTGGCTCGTTTTCTCAAACTTATGCTTAGTAGTGTCACTTAACTGGCAGTTGGTTTCATTTTCTTTGCAATTTTCTTTGTAATTGTACGCGATACAAAAGCGGTGTCTCGAACAACTAGAACCGCAATGAACCAAACTACGCTGTCTTGACTCAGAGATTATGTCTTCTTTCAAACGTGAGATATCTGGAAGAAATGAAATCTGCAGTGAATAGTTTACAAATGTATATTATGGTGGCAATTAATGTTCACTGACGTTGGAAGATGTTGGATCAGGTTTCACTTCATATTTAAAATTTTCATTTTAAGCCCCACGGATCAAACGAGGATGAGAGTGGAGGAAAGCTGGCAGTTATGCAGAATAACATTAGTTTATTTTAACAAAATAAAGGTTTGATTAGTGTTCCAACTATGGTTTTAACTTTAGTGGAATACACAATGTTATTGAGAAAGAATGAAGAACAGCTAATCTCACGATGCACACTCATCCTCGCTTTCCATAATGACGGATTTAGAAAAGTAGTTAACTAACCTCTAGAGCGAGAAAATAGAAAAAGTATGAATACTTTTACAGCACTCGAATACAAATATTAAGGAGTTTAAGCTTCACGTTTCCGGGAAACGCAAACGGTAGATTCGAACTTTCTTGGCAAACTTTTCGTTGAATGTCTTCGTTTCATATTTTCTTTCTTGCGTCGAAAGAATAATTATGTATTTCAGTTTTAAAACAGCAAGTTTGTTTACTCTTTATTACCTGATACCGTAAAATTTTTCTTTGCCTGGCGTTTGCCGTTTGACGTATAACGCGAAGCTTAAATTCTCTATTATAAATAAATTTATACAGCGCTTGTAATGAATCATTATACAAATGTGAATGATTTAACCGATGTGGAAACAGCAGATACCTCAGAAACAGTCATCAAAAATAAATTAATTAAAAGGAACGTACAAGAAGAGGTTTTGAGGGCTTAACATAAATGTGGCTCCCCATAGGGTTTTTTCATTTTTCTACTCAATAGTATTGAAGAGACATCTGATTCTTCACTTTACATGATACGAAGACGAAATTTATTGGACACTTTGACATTGCTATCCTAAAATTACAATTTGCTACTTTTCTGTTGAAAGTCCTTTACGTGCTTGATATAAAGCCCAAAACTTGTCATTTTCCGGCCATTTTAAAAATTGCCTTCAGTGAATCGTTTTAAAACTTTGAATAAAAGATAAATTCTTGTATAATGACTTTTTTCTTCCATTTTATAAAATTCTATCAATACGTTTGCTAGAAAATTTATAAACCGTCGAAAATCGATATTGAAAATTTTCCGCTCCATGGAGTTTTGAAGAAAAAGGATATATTTGCACTTGTTAAGCTGATATTAGAAAATGTACAAAGTTTAATAAAATTTACCCAAAGAAAGGGAGTCTGAAATTTAGGTTTGGCATTTTTTGCGAGATGTGCAACATCTATTGTCCTGCTTCCAAAATAACACAACTGATGAAGCACGATCAGGCTAAGACTGACATAGAACGAAGACGGAAAGTGTTGTATCTTGGAAATATATTTCAATTTTATGTATAATTGCTAGCTGCGCTCTAGCGACTAATTGATGCATGCATGCATAAAAAATAGTCACGAATCCTAAAATGGAGCAACTTATTAAAGGTATTTTTATTAATAAGTTGCATTACGGCTAATATGTGATCAATTATTGATAATAATGTGACCTTCTGTCTTTTAATTACGTAATGGCTTTTCAATACTGATGCTGTAAATATTCTAATGGATCAATGTTGTCCATAAAGGCGGATTTCTACTAGACGATTTTTGAGACGATCGCCAACGCAGTTCGCGACGAAAAAAAATGTTCGAAGAGCGATCGTCTAGCGCTCGACGAAAAGTAGGATTGACTTCTACTTTTCGTCGAGCGCCAGACGATCACCAAATTTTTAACCAATAAGATTTCGCGCTTTTTTGTTGCTGCTAGTTCATCTTCACTCACTTCTGTCTAAATCTGGCGTTGCGAATTTTTATGACGATCGGCATAAAAATCGTCTCAAAAATCGTTTAGTTGAGATCCGCCTTAATAGATCGTATAAAGGGTTTAATTTTGAGGAAGGTGTCTAGAGGGCTGAAAAATATGAATTGAATGTTGATTGTATGTATACACTACTAATAGGCCTAGTTCTTTAGGTTCTGTTAACTTGTCAAAACGTTTAGCCGTACTTTGCACAGCTTTTCCTAAGTATTTTCCTCTATGCCAGACATTTCTCTTAAGAGTTTTAATTAACTAATTAAAAATGTCTTCCTCTTTCTATATATACAATTTCTCGGTTTATTATGGTTCTCAAGTGTAAATTTCGGAGTTTGAGTGCGACGGGAAATGATGAAGCTGAATATACTAATTATTGTCAAAACATCTTTAACGTAAGGATCTGTCAAGATATAATGGTCTGGAAGACCTGAAATATTCAAACGGCCACAAAATGGAAGACCTTTTTGATGTTAAACTGTACGTACATGACCTTCCGCGAAGCTTTTATTTCAACTTCATTATATTTCGTCGTGATTGCCAGGAGGAGGGCCCAACCCCACCCCATGGGGGTTGAGAAGCATTTCCAGCGGTCCATTATTTCCCGTTAATGGACTTGGCGGTCCATTTTGCGTGGCCCGTTACGTAAAAACATACGCATGCATTTTAAAACAAAACAGGAAAACTAATTGAAAATTATAATTGAATTGTTATTAGTAAGATATCTGCGAGTGGTTTCTAGTGGAAAAGAAGGAATACATTACAGGTATTTTTTGTTTTCTCCGACCAAATGTGTACCACGCAACAAATAGGCATTTCAAATCATAGACTTCTTGTTCGTTTCAAGTATAAATGCCTATAGATGTCAACTTTTTATTAATAACCTCGCTTGCTCGATATGTACAGAGAAATATCGGACCTCGGTCTTTCTGTACAAACCTCGCCCCCTACGGGTTTTGGTCTGTACAAAAAAGACTTCGGTCCGATATTTCTTTCTACAGACCTCGCGCTCGGTCAATAAGAAGTTAATAATTGCAACACACCGCGTTCATCTGCTTAGTAAGTATCTATTTCGTTTCTTAAGATTAGATCTTCTTCAGACCAAATAAATACTTTCTGCTTTTGTTGGAATACAAAAAAATGCAAGTGGCCGCTATATGTGCTCTGACTGACAAACTCCATATTAATTTACAATTTTATTCAAATATTAATATAGTAGTAAAATGTCGCATAGTAGTAGAGTGTCGCATAGTAGTAAAGTGTCGCATTGTAGTAAAGTGTCGCAATATTAACATAGTAGTAAAACTACTGCGTGAAGCTGATGCATGACTATTTGTGTCGCACTACATAGTACAGAAATTTGAATTTAATGATGATCTTTCGCAACTTTTTGTGTGGATGTGTCTGCAACCGTTCCGATCTTTAAGACCATATTATGTATGCATGTACCGCTTAGTAACATGCGTACGCGGTATTATTTGCTGCAACTTTCAACGCAAACGTTTTAAACCGTTTTCACAGTAGAACCAAGTAATTGTCCCACATTTTACTCCGCCAACATTTTCCTGGCGTGCAATGAATGAATGAGAATAAAAATAGCATGAAGGCGAGAAATAACCAATGCTCAATGATTTTTACTGATCTAACTTAACATCATCAGTAGACTGTCCAAAATTGCGTTGTAAGTTGCAACAAAAGTTGAAGTAACATCCAAACACTCGACCGATATTTGAAGTTTAAATGTTTCTTTGGGCCGGAGAACGTAGAAAGATGCATGACTGTTGAGCATCATGATAAAATTATAATATTAAACAGAAATAAGACACTTACCTTGATAACGTTTATTAAAATATGACGATTTGCATGTTTCCTCGGGTTGAACAAGACTACAGAATATAAGCAAAGACAAGGAAATCAAATCTATCTCAAAGAACTTAGCCATCTTCAGTTTATCTGACTGATCTTTGCCGCGATAACATGCTCTTTACATCCATTTCATGGCCAGAAATGGAGGACATCAAGCGGTCGGGCTTGCGGGCTCATATTTTCTTGATAATTCAATGCACTATACAGTCTATACAGACCAGATATATAGAAACAAGCAAAATTATAAAATATAACAAACTTTACGCCAACCGAGTCTTGTCCATGCTCAAATTTCAAAAGTCTACCAATACCCAATAGTTATAAATGTTTTGAAGTCGGCAAATCAAAATTATTACGAAATCCCGCGAATTTTAGAATGTTTACGAGACTACAGCCTATATTGACAGCGGTTAAAACCATTGTAACGTAGCAACAGCTTTATAAAAGCAATGGCGGACAACAAATGTAACTCTTGGTGCGAAATTTGTAATATTTTTGTTCGAAATATGGTGCATTTCTCATCACAATTGGACGGACAGCTCTCTAGTACAAAATACATGCAATTCATCGCTTTGGGGAACATACTAGTGTATACTTTTACGCTTCATACAAGTGACAATAATAAAGAGGAATACTGTACGAAGAAATTCAGATATGCACATTTGACGATATCTGTAAAGAACGAGTTGAAATTGGACCTGCAAAATACCGAATATGTCGAAATCACATACTTTCCTATGCAGAGACTAGGCAGAGATATTGATTGCTCGGGAACATACTTAGACAACTCGAGTGGTACCAATTTTTTTACGGATAAAAGTTGGACAGAATCGGTGAAGTTTTAGATATGCACATTTTGCATTTCTCAACCGTAAGTTATCAAAAATACAAATTTTGCATTATTCCCATTCAAATTATATAAGAAGACGCCATTTTGAATTTTTATTTTGAGTCAAAATGCGCATGCTTGGCAGCCATGTTGGACTCCATTTCTGGCCATGTGCTTTTGCCAATTTTTGTAAATTAATATTTTATATTCAAATTGCATGCTTTCAAACAAATTAAATAATCAACTTATGCAAAGTTATAAACTGCATGAGGTTAATGGAGTAATATGTTCAAGAAGATCAGTAGTACATAAAACAGGGATTTTGTCCGGGAAAAACCTATACGTATAAGCAGGGACGCAGGAACGATAATAAGGCAAAGGGGGGCGGATGCACACAAAGGGCACCTCTATAGAGCAAAACTTCAAAATCTACCGGAAAATTTTTTTCAATGGAAATTTTTGGGCGACCTCCCAAACATGTTTTCCTTCCTTCAAAATATTGCTTATGCCAACAAAATCGCAAAGAACAAATATGATTTCAAATCTTTAAATTTACTTCCATTTCCTCACTGATTTGTGGGAATATCTTTCGAACCATAGGGAATACGGCAACTTTTTATTAGAGTAGAGTGTAACCCGGAAAAGAAATAATTTATAATGAATATTTCAGAGTAATCCAAAAAACGTTTTAACGAAGCAGACTTCACCTGACGCACAGGCGTGGATTAGCATGTAAAACGTCATATAAGATCTAACTTGCCTTGACATATATAAATAATAATAATTTAATAATAATTTAGGCCCTAATAATTTATAAAGCGCTTTTTACATGTAGTGATCAAAAGCGCTGTATTAAATTACAATATAACTAATGTTCAATATGGTAAGCATAACTTATAAAGTGTAATAAAATGTTGAAATGTTAACTTTAATAAAAACTAAATATTAAAAGCTAGTTTAAAAAGATGAGTCTTAAAACAAGTTTTAAAAACACTTATTGACGAAATGTCACAATTTCTTTCGGAAGTTCATTCCAAAGTTTCGGAGGAGCCACAGTGAAAGATCGGTCGCCAAATGACCGTAAAACTTTACCCTTAGAGAACTCTAGCATTATGCTATCATTAGAGCGTAAAAGGTAGACGTTTACTTCCACTTTGACAACAAGTAGGTCTGCCATGTACTTTGGAACCATATACTTTGGAGCCATTAAAATGGATCATGAACTTCACAGGTAACCAGTGTATAGTTCACCTAATATAGGTGTAATGTGATCGTATTTTCGTGTTGAAGTCACTAATCTGGCAGCGGTGTTCTGAACCCTCTGCAACTTAATCAATTCAGTATTAGGTAAACCGCACAGGAAACCATTACAATAATCTAGCCGACTTGAAATAAAGGCATGTATAACAGTCAACAGATTTTCCCGCGATAAAAACTTGCTGATGCGTTTGATGTTGTGAAGCCAACAGAATGCGGCACCCAATGTCTTTGTTGTATGACATGACATTGATACATTTGAATCAAGCCAAAAAACTCCTAAATCGTGAGCTATTCGTGCAGGAAGGACATCAGCATTGCCGACACGTACATGGCATGGGTTAAATTTCTGCAGTTGCTGCTTGGATCCAATTATTAGCAGTTCAGTTCTATCGTCAATTAATTTCAAAAATCTTGAATCATGCATTTCCGAAGATCGTTGACACAGCTTTCCATTACCGAGATCGCTTCACATTGATCGCATGGGTAGTCAGGTTTGAATGACACATACAACTGAGTGTCATCAGCAAAACCATGTAAATCCGGCGAGTGATTGTTAATAATATCGAACAGTTTGGAGGCATATAATATAAAAAGAAGAGGCCCCAAACACGAACCCTGCGGGACACCAAAGTTCAAATCAGATGAATCAGAAAGGGTACCATTTAGCATAACACATTGACTTCGACCAGACAAATAGGAAGAAAACCAACTGACAACTTTTCCACGTATTCCAAATTTCGACCTTAACCGTTCCAGCAAAATTCCATGGTCAATTGTGCCAAAAGCGGGACTTAGGTCCAGAAGAACCAAGAGAGTTGCACGTTGACTGTTCATGCTTAACAAAATATCATTGAATACATTGAGTAACGCAGTCTCTGTGGCGTGATACAGCCGGTAAGCGGAATGCAACACTGGATAAAAGCCACATTGAAGAATATATGATCGTGGGTTTGATTATGTATACTGCTCGTTCAATACGCTTTGAAATATATGCTAAATTACTGATGGGACGAAGATTTTCAAAAGCGGACTCCAACCCAGATTTTTTAATATAGGAAGAGTGATAGCTTCCTTCCAGTCTCTAGGAAAGTACACAGTTTCAAGTGAAATATTGATTATTTTTGTAATCACAGGAAGTAACACATCCAGACATTTCACCAGGAAATCTGTTGGCACTGCATCAAGATAACAGGAATTTTTGTGTTAGTCCACAGCATGCTTTCGAACATCATCCTCAGACAAGAGCTCAAACGCATCAAAATGCGTCATGATCACTTGGAGGATCTACGTGACCATCATTATTTGAAGAAATCTCGTTGTTTATCTCAGAGTGGATATTTGAGATTTTCTAAACAAAATATTTGCCAAGCAGTGGCGGCGCCAGGCTTCCAAATTTGGGGGGGGGGGGCATTTGAGGCGCAAACTCAAATTTGGGAGGGCAAGATAGAATTTTTAAAAAGGTCTCCCCCCAGGAAATTCGCCCCCCCCCCTCAAAACGTGTCGATATTCCTAGGAATATTGCCCCCGGGGAGCGAATATCCTAGGAATATCGCCTCCCAGTGGGTGGGGCGAATACCCTAGGAATATCGCCGCTCTTTAGGACATTCGCCCCCCATATATGCGATGTGGTTTATTCAAATAATTTCGTGATACTTTCATCTTATTATTGCCTTACACGTTTGAGAATTTAACTCTGCAAAACTACAGCTTTTTTGTCTTTTTTTGAAACGTGTTATTGGAGTATTGGCAAGTTTTACCATTCAGAGATTTACAAACTAATATTGAAACTGTAAAAAACAGTTTCATGTATACGCGCATTCACTAATGAGTAATGACAACTTATAAGCCATACATTTTCCGATAACGACAGAACGCTTGTGTAGCCTTTAGTCGCTCTTAGCGACTAATATTTTTTTTTGAGGGGGGGGTGCAAAATGGGGGGGGGCAAAAAATAATTTGAAGGGGGGGGGCATTTGCTGGCGCCGCCACTGTTGCCAAGTTCGTTAACGAGAGCTGTTTCATTTCAAACTTATTGCATTTTAATTTTGCACTAGCATTCTTTTGATAGCTTTGAAATGAGTCCCTTGGTTATTGCTGTTTTCTTTGACAAAATCAGAGAAAAAGGAGCATTTTGCTATCCTCATAAATATTGAGTACAATGGTTTTCCAATGATTTAAATTTATTAAAATCAGCAGCCGTCTTTTTTGTAGTCCGCCATTTCCGTTCCGCTTTCCTTCTTTGCAAGTTTGATTTCCTCATCTAGTCTAGGACCTGTATATGAGTTTGTATGCGATTCATTTAGGACAGGTAATCTCAACTGTTTAGGGTAAATGACCATGGCGATCAACATGGCATATGTGCGAAAACCTGAATCCGGGACGAAAGTCCTGAAAATGACTCCCCCCTGAAACGGTAGTGTCGACAAAACTCTAACTTTCGAAAAAGAAAAGCGACCGCTTTTCTGAAGTGCTTATAGTGTTTAGAAGGGTTACTTTTAGGTGTAGTCATTGGAAGGAAAAATTTGTCTAAGTATTATATTTCACCAGAAAATGACTATGCACCACCCCAGTTAATTGCTGATTATGCACAAAATAACTAATATGCCTGGCAGAAATTAAATTTTCTTATTCCCTAAAAAAAATTATCATGGGATGAAAAACTATGCTTAGTTCAATATAATTATTGTGGATTTCATAAGGATTGTCATTGTTTTCTTTTAATATAACACATTTTATTTCAATACCCCCCACGAAAACATGATTTCAGCCATATTTTGCCGTCCTGTTTGCTTTTTATCGCCGAGTCTCGCAAATATTATTATTATTATTATTATTATTAAAAATTTCCAAACTAGCAGTAACAACTGAATTACTTTGGAATTACAGGGTATAAGAACATAGGTATTTAATCTATTCTATATTTACAGGTAAAAATAGGTAAGTTAGATAAAAATAACGTTAGTAATCTAAAGTTTACTCATTATTATAAGCACGAGACGCAGCAGGAATGAAACTGTTCGAAAAACGTTCAGTTCTACACCTAGGTACTAATAAGTTGGGATAAGACCTCAGATTATAAGTTTGAAGACTTTTAGGCGGTACTAAGGCATTCAGTTTATGAGTGGGTTCCAACATCTTCGAAAAAAGTCGCTTGCAATGGACAGTTCTACGTTCGTAAAGAGTCATCAAGTTAGCTTTAAGCAAACATTCAGCATAAATAGTTCCAGGGAAAATAATTTTTAATGCCCTTTTTTGTATTTTTTCAACTTGATCACTCAGGTAATGAGGAAGGCCATAATGCCACACCTGACAAGCATATTCGACAATTGGTCGAATATGTGTACAATAGGTTGAGATCAGAATATGAGTAGGTAAAGCATTTCTTTTAAGAAGGCGCAGACCGTACAAACGCTTCGCGGCTTTCTTGCAAATGTAGTCAATATGGCAGTTCCATTTGAGGTCGTCCGAAAGGACAACGCCCAATAGTTTGGCCTCGGAAACGACGTCGACCTCTTGACCGCGAATGGTAATGGGGGCAAACGATGGAGTAAGCTTAGAAAAGCAGACACGCAATTCTTTGGTCTTTGATACGTTTAACTTCATATTATTGTCTGATGACCATTCAGAGCAGCTGATGATGTTAGCGGGTAACTGGGAAGGGGAATTGTTTGATATTATTTCCCAAAGGCTAGTATCATCGACAAATTTAACAGTTTCATCCACTACAGCCAAGTCATTTATCATGATCAAAAATAATAGCGGGCCAAGCTTCGTTCCTTGTGGGACGCCGGCGTTTAAAAACTTCCACTCAGAAAAGAACTGACCAACACGGGTTCTTTGTTGTCTGCCTGTTAGGAAGTTTGCGATCCAGTTGAGTAACACGGGATGAATTTCCATGTCTTTCAATTTTTCCAACAGAATGTTATGATCTAATCTATCAAACGCCTTGGCAAAATCAAGTAAACAAATCCGTATAGTGTTGCCTTGTTTGTCAGCTGCTTCAAACCATTTATGTAGCATGTAGATTAATGCCATACTAGTGCTTGAACCCTTCAGCGAACCAAATTGCAAGGAATCAATTTTTTTGAGACGGAGTCAAGTAGCCATTTGTAGGGAAAGGATTCAAGAATCTTGCTGATAATTGGTGTGAGGGAAATTGGTCTGAAGTCAGAATCAACATCTTTAGGAGGCGAAGATTTTTGAACTGGTGTAATATTTGCTGCCTTCCATATTGAGGGAACAAATCCTTCACGAACTGATGAATTAAAAATAGAACACAAAGGTCGACACAACACTGAAGCGTTTTCCCGGAGAAGCCAAGAAGGAATTTCATCGGGACCAGCAGATGAATGAAGTTTAGATGATAATAGGGCCTTTTCAGTCTCCTCGACAGAGATGCAGAAATCATCTGGAATGTCATTTGTGGGAAGGGGGAGCCAGTTTAGATTGGGTAAGGAGGACCCTACAGCAACGAACTTGTCGTTGAGCAAATTTGCTAAATCGGCATCAGAGTAGGATTTACCTTAAAACATCATTGTAGATACATTCTTAGAAGACTGAAGACCGGCAATATTCTTCACCGCTGACCACCATTTACGAGAATCGGACTGTTGAACGCCCGCGATACTTTTATTGTAGTAATTTAGTCGTGCTTTTTTGCAAAGTGCATTGACTTTGTTTCGATAGAATCTGAACATCAGGTTATTGCCAGCCGCCCATGCTGTTTGCCGCTTGGAAATAAGAGATTTTATTTCGGAAGTAATCCAAGGC